CACACATTTTATCACGCAACAGCTCAGGCTGAATTACAGATAGAAGAACAATAAGCAATACAAGAATATCACCAATTCACCATCACCAATTCACATTCACTGGTCAGTGGTCACAGCTACACTCAACCAACTATATTAACCCCCCCAAAAAAATAAACGATTTAGCTCTAGAAAATGCCTCGTATAGCATCGGGAAGGACGGCGGCGACGCGGTGACTGCAACTCGACGACGGGAGAAGAAGCGAGCATCGCCGTCGAGGAGGTGGATACGACATGGTTCAGCCGATAGAAGACGGTGGCTTGGCGGCGCCTGATGTTAGAGTGATTTTGTGAATATTGTATTTTTGGTATAGATAGATTTTGGTATCTTAGAGATTTGTTGTATATTCGTTTTAGCGCTTCCTTTGTATCTTTTTATGTTTGCCCTTATCAATATCAAAAGCAAGGTTTTGGGGGAATAAATTGTTTTCACATATTTGTCATGGTATCAGAGACTGGTTAAATTTTTTTTTTTCTCTCGGATTTTTCAAGTCTCGATTAACTAAGATTCATTTTTTTTTTCTCTTTCTGCTGCTCTCTCTCACTTTTTTACTCTCTTTCGGCTGCTCTCGATCAATAGAGCCGCTATTGTTTCAAACTAAAAAAAAAATGTAGTTGGATTTTGTCGGGAAAATTATTTGGCCGAGAAAGTTGGATTGTTCATTCTTTTGAATTGGGGAGGATTAGAATATTTTTTTGAGAGCTGGGAATTGATTTGTCAAGTGGTAAGGTCATAGGATTTTATATTCCTTTGGCAGTGATTGTTTTAAGACAATTAATTCTTGCTGGGAGATTTAATTTGTTTGAGAGTTGCAAGAGAAAATTCCTTGCGGGAAAAGTTTTAGCCGGGAGAGATAGATATTGATACATATTTTCAGGAGATCCTTTTAGGGCCTGAAGCTTGTTGCCTAATAAGATTTTTTCGTGAGGCTGGGGTGAAAAAAAAAAGTTCTCGATCAACTGAGACCTCATGGCTTCTTCCTCGGCTCGTCAATGTTATCATTGCAGGAAGTTGGGTCATCTTGCGACATCTTGTTTTGAGGTCATCGGCTATCCCGATTGGTGGGGAACCGGCTCCGGCTACAGCAGGGAAACCGCTGCTCATGCCAAGGGATGAGCTGGTCGTGGCCGACGCGGTAATGGACCGGCTGCGGTGGTCCAGCCATTGTCAACACCGCCTTCGGGAACGGGGCTGCAATTAGTACCTCTAGCTCCATACATGGCGGGCCAACATCCGCATTGACGGACTCCGATCGGGCGGCTATTTTTGGGTTGATTGATGCCCAATGGGAGTCTATTGTACTCCTCGTCTCTTCTATCCGCAATAATGCTCCTTTGTCAGGTAAGTATAGTCCTTATGAGTGGATGTATGATAGTAGTGCCTCACATCATATGATGGGCTACTTGGATTTTTTTTCTGATATTCGGGATATTCCTCCCCGGTCTGTGCAGTAACCTAATGGCATGCTCACAACTGCGTGTAAAGCTGGCACTGTTCATCTCGGTTCTCGTATTATTTTATATGATGTTTTGTTCGTTGACAGTATATAGTGCAACTTGATATCACTGTCTCGTTTGTTGGAAGAATCTAGTTGTGTTGCTACCTTCACTAGTACATATTGTGCTATTCAGGACCTCACTTCGAGGATGGTGATTGGAGCGGGTGAGCAGTTGGGGGGACTATATTTTTTTCGAGGGGTGATTGCTGCCAATGCTTCTCGGGTATCCTCGGTTATGCAGCCCTTGTGGCACCAGCGAATGGGTCATCCCTCTTCTACTGTCCTTGGTCAATTGCCTTTTGTTGAGTCTCGCTCCTTGGTCTCGAATAAAACTTGTGATGTTTGCTGGCGGGCGAAGCAATCTCGTGCTAGCTTTCCTCTTAGTCGAAGTGTCCGTAGTTCCATCTTCAGTCTGATTCATTGTGATGTGTGGGGACCGTATAGAGTTCCTGCCTTTAGTGGTGCTCGATATTTTTAACTATTGTTGACGACTCTTCTCGTGGTACTTGGATTTTCTTATTGGATGACAAATCTTCGGTGTCTTCCACTTTACTGCAATTTTTTGCTTTTGTCAAAAGGCAATTTTGTGTGTTGATTAAAACTGATTGCAGTGACAATGAGACTGAATTTACTTGTATGCGTGATTATTTCCGTCAACAGGGAATTGTTCATGAAACTTCTTGTGTCGGAACTCAGCAACAAAATGGACATGCTGAGCGCAAACATCAGCACATTCTTAATGTTGCTCGAGCATTACGCTTTCAAGCCCATTTACCGATTGAGTTATGGGGACATTGTGTACTTGCTGCTGGCTATTTGATTAATCGAACGCCTACTCCTCTTTTATCCGGAAAGACTCCCTATGAAATTTTGTATGGAGAACCTCCCAACTATGCGCACTTACGTGTTTTTGATTGTCTGTGTTACGTGCACAATCAGAACAGGGAAGGCGAAAAGTTTGCAAGTCGGAGTCGTCGATGTGTTTTTGTTGGCTATCCCTCTAATCAAAAGGGGTGGTGTGTTTACGATTTGGACAACCGCACTTTTCTAGTCTCACGTGATGTCAAATTCTGTGAATCAGAGTTCTCTTATTTTACGTCTTCTGCTTTTGATACTGCCTCTGCACCTGTGGTTCCCTGGTCTGCTATTCCTGACGACGATGATGATGTGGTGCTTCCCACTACAACATGTACTGCTGCCACTGGGGGTTCTGAGGTCGTTGTCGATAGGGGGGGTGGAAGGGATAATCCTCCCGACGAGGAAGTGCTGGGTCGTGGTCATCGTCTCAAGAGGCCCTCTTCCCGTCTTGCTGACTTTGTCTCTCACACTATTTGTTCCTCGTTCCCCCACTCTGCCTCCTCCATCGCGTCATCGTTTGGTACTCCTTACCCTCTCGCACACTATGTTTCTTGTGATTCATTTTCACCTGCACATCAGTCATTTCTAGCAGCCATTTCTTCTGCTGTTGAGCCTCAGACCTTTTCTGAGGCTGTTCGAGATAGTCGCTGGCGTTCAACTAGAGATTCGAGCATTGGAATCGAATCGTACGTGGGATATTGTTTCTCTTCTTACTGGAAAACACGCTATTGGTTGCAAGTAGATTTATAAGATTAAATATAACTCTGATGGTTCTGTTGAGCGCTACAAAACACGTTTGGTTGTCTTGGGTAACCGGCAGGTGGAGGGCATTGACTATCAGGAGACATTTGCACCTATCGCCAAGATGGTTACTGTACGGACTTTTCTTGCTGTTGCAGCTGCCCGACATTGGGAGGTTCATCAGATGGACGTGCACAATGCATTCTTACATGGGGATCTGTCTGAGGAGGTCTACATGGAGCTTCCTCCCAGTTTTCATTCGTTTGATCCTGATAAGGTGTGTCGGTTACGCCGTTCTCTGTATGGTTTAAAGCAAGCTCCTCAGTGTTGGTTTGCGAAGCTTGCTTCTGCTCTACGACACTATGGTTTTCAGCAGTCATATTCTGATTACTCACTGTTTGTTTTTCATCGTGACTCATTGCATTTACATGTTCTGGTTTACGTTAATGATATGATCATTTCTAGAAGCGATCCAGTCGCCATTACTGCCTTTAAGGATTATTTGGGTCGTTGTTTTCATATGAAGGATTTGGGTTTGTTGAAATATTTTCTGGGTATTGAGGTTGCTAGGAATTCTTCGGGCATTTTCTTGTGCCAGCGGAAGTACACGTTTGACATTGTGACCGAGACCGGTCTACTTGGCGGTAAACCGGCGGATTTTCCCATGGAACAAAATCACTAGCTTCCCTTAGCAGACGGTCCTCTCTTTTCTGACCCCGAGCGCTATCAGCGTCTCGTTGGGCAATTGATCTATTTGACAGTCACTCATCCTGACTTGTCTTATGCGGTTCATACTTTGTCTCAGTTCATGCAGCAACTTCGTCAGGCCAGCTGGGATGCTGCTCTTCGGGTACCCCGGGTCAAGGTATTCTTCTTCGTTCAGATTATGACTTGCAGATTTACGGTTGGTGTGTTTCTAGATTTGGAGACTTGTCCCACTACACGTCGTTCTCTTTCGGGCTGGTTTGTCCAGGTTGGTCATTCAACCCTTTCTTGGCGCACCAAGAAACAACACACTGTAGCCCGGTCTTCTGCCGAGGCCGAGTATCGAGCTATGGCGACCCTTACTTGTGAGTTGAAATGGTTGAAGGGTTTACTTCACAGCCTTGGCGTCGCTCATTCTCAGCCCATGTGGATCCATTGTGACAGCCAAGCAGCTCTGCACATTGTTGTTAATCCTGTATTTCATGAGCGCATGAAGGATATTGAAGTCGATTGCCATTTTTTCGTGATGTTCTTGTTCAAGGTCTCATTTCTACCGCTCATGTTCCACTCATTCTCAATTGGCGGACATCTTCACCAAGGCTTTGGGAAAACGCGAGTTTGATTTTTTTCTTGGCAAGTTGGGCATCCGGAATCCGCATGCTCCAACTTGAGGAGGGATGTTAGAATGATTTTGTGAATATTATATTTTTGGTATATAGAGATTTTAGNGCTTGTGTGTGTGAGTGAGTGGAGATAGTAATTAGGGTAGGTAGTTGGGGTGAGGTCCATTTATGATTAGATTTTGTTGTATAATGACTGAAATACCCTTAATTAGGGGACAAATATGTAATTTTGATTACATTGTATAAGTTAATTTACAATAATGCCATTAATGATTGACCAATATTGACTTGATCATGTCCATTAATACATTAGATCTAATGGCTCAGAATCACTCTTATTTCTTTCACTATCTTTGTTTCTCATTTATGAAAATCAGTGGTTAAATCTCACCAACAAATGCTGCATCTCATTATTAAATCTCGAAATATAAGGGCCTCCATTTTATAAACACCACTTAAGGAAAATAAAACTCAATTGCCCAGGTATATGAAGGCAACGTAACAGGGATACAAAACACAGAAAATTCGCAGCAGCATGACATCAACTCTCGAAAATAAAAGAGGCTCAAACTCTCGACATGTACTCGATTCTTACAACACAAACTCAAGGCAAATATCCCGACTTCTCATTACTTTTTAAAACCTGAATTTCCAGAGGCTAAGAGACACCAAAATCAAGACTCCAACATCATCAATTACTCAAATCTCAAGAATTTATTATAAATTCAATAAGTCTCTATACGTGAACCTTAAACCCATTTAAACCTTCAAATAATACTCACGGCTGACACGGTTATCTTTCAGCCTCTCGCTGCTATCTCTCACGAATGGCTGCTGCTTGCCATGAATGGGGACTAACGAGCTTATATATATATATATAGAAGTGCGCTCAAATGAGAATGAGTCATAGTGAACGAAATAAGAATTAATATAGACCACTTGATCTACTATTCCAACGGCTCAGATGTAGCTGTCAATTTTAAATTCCTGGTCAATTACCAATGGCATTCTCGTAATTAGAGATGAATGATGTGGTCAATTGTACAAGTTTGAGGATAATTTTGTAAATTATTAAAAAGCACTTTCCACACCCATGACCCACCCCTTAAACTTCCTCACAAAATCCCCTAATTTCCCCAACACACACACAACCACAATACCGCCACTACCAGACGCAGCCCGTCGCTGCCGTCCCCGCCATCTACGACGTCTTCTTTGCATCTTGTCTCATAGAAGTCGCCGCCACCGATGAACCCGCACCTCCACCGGTTGAACTCTGCACAAGCTCACTAGCAGATCCATCATCAGTCATCTGCTCCACCACCGGCAAGACTGTCGCCGTCACAGTCTCATTCAGCTACGTTGACATTGCTGCCACAGCTCGCCGTCGTCACGAACCGAGCCACCATCAAGAACCTGCTACGCCGCCTACACAGTCGAGCCACCATCAGCAACCTGCTCCGCCGCCAGCAGGCCCGACACGGTCTAGCGCCGCCACAAGCTCAGTCGGTCACGGTGACACTGCCGCCACAACCCATCCACCGTCACCATCCCCCAAGCACACACAATCTCCGATTACAGACACAGCCTCCACGAGCCGCTGTGTCATGGTCACCACCGATGACCAGTGCGTCGGCATAGATCCGGCCATCCTTGGAGAGACCCGACCGTATTATTCCCTGCCGCGCAGATTCGCGGTCATCGCATACAACCAAGGTGCAGCAGCTGTTTTCGACGACGCAGGGTCACGCTGATGTTTGCCAGTAGGGTTGAACTGATTGCGACGGGAACCTTATTGTCCGGCGGTGTGGCAGATGGCGGCTGGAGTCGGACAGCGGGCGGAGGGCGAAGGGCGATGGGCTAAGAGTGACGGAATGTGTACAATGACGGGAATCTGATGTTGTTGTGAGGGGCTGAGTATTGAAAATTAGACAAGTCCAAGGGACTTTGATGCAATTTTAAAAATTTTAATTTATTGCATTTTAATATGTGAGGCATTATTATCATTTATTAAAAGTTTAATTGCACATTAATGATATGACAAATGCACAATAATGTGCATTATTTTGCACATTAAAAATCATGTAATTTAATGAAATCACATATTTGCCACCGCTTATTGTTCGGTGGGTCGCATATTTCAACTATTTTTCAATAATAATATTGACTTATAACCGAAATTTTCAAAATTTTAGGAATTTCAATTTATTACAATTTAGTGTACGAGTATACTTTATAATATTTTTAAAAAAAAAAAAATCTGCACATTAATGTTGATTATAGTGCACAATACAGTGAGTATATAAGCACATTAAACGTTCAAATAAATTACGGAATGAATAATATTGTACATCGATCAATCTTTTTAAAACCAATATAAGCGACTCAAAATATTGAAAAAAAATTTGAACAATTGATTTTTTAATGTGCAATTCGGCTAACTGTATTGTGCACAGTTTCGATCGTTATTGTGCAGTCTGACTTGATTAAACCTTTTTTATCTCAAACCAAATTAAAATTGGACAGAATTAATTGGTCATTTGGTTATTTATTTGGATTAACTAAAATATATGAAAAATAATATTTATATTATAATGGTATATGTAGTACTAACGTTTGAAAAACGTATTAAAATTAAATTTGGTTAGCATTGATATTATGAAAACGTTGTTCACCATATACACAATTTTGTTAAATGGTTGTTGTTGATTCGTTGATATGTTTGTATGGTTATTTAATAATTTATATTATTTCTTGGTATAAATAACCGAAGTTTTAAAAGTAAAAACAAATAATTGAGTTGAAATATACAAATTAAAAAAAAATCAAGTCGATTGATGATGCACGGTATGACAGTGATTAATATGCAACTTGTCTAACCATATTTTGCACGGGTTCAACCACTATTGTGTAATCTTAAATGGTCAGACTTTTGTCACAAAATCGGTCGCCGGTGGTGGACAATTTGCCGGACTGAAGAACGACAAAAAAATCTCACATTAATTCATTTAAAAAATACACAATACGTAACAACGTAATTTTGAATTTTTCTCGAGTTTGTTGCGCACAATATTACGATAATGTGCATTCCTCAGAGACTAATGTGCATATAATGTAACATTATTGTGCAATTTTTAGAGTTATTATTTTTTGTTGTCACTTTAATTAAAAAACTTTAATTGTGTATATTTTAAATTTCTAGTTTGATTTATATGGGAACTTTCTTTAAAAATCCTCAATCTTAATTCCATCTTCCATGTCAGTCCCTAGGGCTAATTTCTTTTTATTTCACTCCCTACCCTCATATTCATCTTCCATTCAAATTCCCCCTATTAAAATAACTCAAAAGAAATTCTAGTGTGACATCATCCCACTACCATACCCATTTACATATTATTTAATTATTTTTATTTTGCCCAACCTTACATAAATAGTAATATTTTATATTTGACTTCTTCCCCACACAAATCACCATCTCCCTCCTTTTTTCTGTAGCTTCATCTGCCGGCCACCATTTTTTCTTTTTTTGCAGCTTCATCTTGCCGGCGGCACCAAATCGGCGATAAGAACTCCGGCGGCAACAAATCCGGCGAATTAAGTGATCTCGACGTCGAATTTCTCCGACCGAAAATTCATATATTTCCGGCAACATTGTGCCTTTTCCCGGCGAAAACTTGAAGTAGTAAGTAATCTATGTGAGGACTTTGGAGTCCAACAATAATCTTTAATTCATATATTTTTGGTTAATTTGTTAAGGATTCAATTTTGAATAGTTGTTTATATTTACGCTAAAACAAATGAAGTGATCATAATCTCTTTTTTGTTGTTCATGTCTACCAAATTTATGGTATTCTTAGGTTATGTTAAGTGTTATTCACCATAAAACAAAAAAATAAGATGATAATAATCATAGTACCACTGTTCATGATTTTTGTAACTCTGTTTGTATATCAGTATCACGTTGCTCACTGTTTGGTACCATATGTGCTGGAAAATGTGAAGTTGTTTTGTTTTATCCAATTATTGTTAGATACATGAAGGGGCACAAAGTGATATAATAGGGAGTTGTACCTACAAAAATGAATTGTATGCGTTCTTTATGCACCTTGGATCAACATTTGACGAAGTGTACACTCTCATTGCTAAGAGGTGGCCGGATTGTTAATTTGGAAACCGTCATGTTAAACTATATTGCGCTAAAGAAAAAAAAGAGAGTTAGTTTGGCCGATGATGAGCATGTGAAAACATGATTCGGTTACATGTTTGTTGGAAAGTAAATATTGTAGAGATACTTGTCATTGAAAGAAATAAAAGCCCAACCATTAGAAGAAATGAAAGACCGGGTGATGGAGTTCAATCCATCCCGATGAGCATGAGCGGGTAATGTAACTCTCATAATATTAATGAACTTATTATTGAAATATGGTGTATTTATCATATCCTAGTTCATTAACTTTGTAAATAGTTCCACTATTTATAGATCTTTGTATTATGTTATCATGAACGCAGGGTAATTGTACCGTATGTTGATTTCTCAGAAGGAGAATCGGAGTTGTTAGTGCAAGATAAATCAATCGATTCTTTCATATTTTGCATCAAAGGAGAGGGGGAGATATTCAGTGGCGGCACCGATAAATTTCGAAAGCATGTTAATTAATTCAATTAGTACATACTTTCGTTGACTCGACAAAAATGAATTATGTAGCGCCACTATTTTATTCATATACGAGATTGCACGACTTTAGTCTCAAGAAATAGCAAGTAAATTATTCTAAGTCTCAAGAGTTCAATCCAAGTACTTAAATTTAATATTGTAAGCACCAAATTAAATTGATGAAATTTCAAATACAAAAGGTTAATTCAAAAATTAATCCGAAGTTTAAGTTTTTAATTAAATTGGTAAATATGCCAATTAATATAGTTTATTAAGTCAAGAAGTACAATATAATTTTTATAAGCTAAGGAGGTTATGTAGGACTTTATAAATCTCGAGCCAAAGGCATAACAATTAAATATGCACATCAATAAACGTGATTGTCTAGCGGCAGGATGGTAGAGAAGGCGGTCTTGAGAGTCTGGACCCGGGTTTGAGTCCCCCTTTGCGCTCCTTCCACCAATTTTTTTTTTTTTGCACTCATACTAAAATTTAATTAGTACATGTTTTATCCAACATACTACCGCATCTTGTTCTACGTGTACCTGTTTTTAAACGAATAGTAACTATTTTTAATTACTATAAGTGCAAAAAAAAAAAATGGTGGAAGGATCGTGCAGAGAGGGACTCACCCGAGTCTGGGCAGTCCACACTCTCAAGGACACCTCCTTTACCATCCTACCGCAAGGCGATCACATTTATTTATGCTCAAATTTAATTCTTGTACCTTTGGCTCGAGATTTATAAAGTCCTACTTAACCTCATTGACTTATATAAATTAAATTGTATTTTTTTACCTAATAAATTATATTAATTGGCATATTTACCAATTTAATTAAAAAATTATACTTAGGATTAATTTTTGAATTAACATTTTGTACTTGGAATTTCACCAATTTAACTTGGTGCTTAAAATATTAAATTTAAGTACTTGGATTGAATTCTTGAGACTTAGAATAATTTACTTGCTATTTCTTGGGACTAAAGTCGAGCAATTTCATAGACGAATAAAATCGTGGCGCTACATAATCCATTTTAGTTGAGTCAACGAAAGTAGGTACTAATTGAATTAAAACCGGTACTACAAAGAAACAAATGTGGTACTATTATAGGTAAAACTGATACTGTATTAGGTACTACAAAGAAGCAAACTGGTGCTATTATAGGTAAAACCAGTGTTTTTATGTGTTCATTACAAGTGGTACTAAAGACCCAATATCAGGTACTATAGCAATATAAAATTGGTACCATTTTACTCTATGTTTTGTACTACTTCTTGTAAATGTTGACCAAAATTGAAATAATTTATTTTCGTTCACAAAAATAGGTACTAATCGATAAAAAAGAGGTACCGCGTTGGAGAAGATGCGGTACTATTTTGGCTTAAACAGGTACTATTTTAAGAATCGGGATTTCTAATCCTTCATGTCTACCAAGACACGTGGATCGTTCACGCATGATTTCGATAAAAAATAGTTGAAGTTAAAATATATAGGTAGAATTTGGATTAGTCATGTGTGATGATTCTATTAGATGAAGTGTGTCATTCAATGAAATCAAGTGTATTAGTACTGTTTTCTCATTAGTGTGTCGAGTTCATGACTATTTTACGATTGACCTTAATTAAAAACATTTTAAATCTCATATAAATTAATGTGAAAGTCATAATAGGTCATATAAACATCATTTGAGACCAAAATTTGGTGTTTTTTTATGTTCATCGGAGTTGGTACTATAACACCAAAAGCTGGTATTATCTAACTCTAGGGCGGGTACCAATTTTTGCAAATGTTGACCAAAATTGAAGTAATCAATTTTCGTTGACCAAAAGTAGGTACTAATTGATTAAAAATAGATACTACGCAGAAGAAGAAGCGATACTATTTCTGTCAAAATTGGTACCGTTTTAGTAATCACGATTTCTTTAATCCTCTATATCTATCATGCCACGTAAATCGTTCACGCGTGATTTGGTTGAGAAAATAGTGGAAGTTCAAACACATAGGTAGAATTTGGAGTAGTCATGTATGATGATTCTATAAGATGAAGTGTGTCATTCAATGAAATGAAGTGTATTGTGTTTTCTCATCAGTGTGTCGAGTTCATGACTATTTTACGATTAAA